TACTGTAACTAACCCTTTAATCTTTGCTTCAGTCTAATTTTTTGCTCTTTAATAAATTTCTTGCATTGCATGAAGTTTGCAAAAGGAAGTAGCAGGAATTCCACATAGGGGCAGAGTCCGATTGAGCAATTTTATGTGTATTTATCTGGAAAGGCCTTTCCTCTGCTCTCCAGCAGACCACACATGGGGTGTTAAAGGTTATTCACAATCACTTACTGTCTCCGCATCACATCTTATCCAACGCGTGGACCAGATCTGGGATTTAAGGACTCAAACTCAAATGTGAAAACATCTCTTTTCCCTTTCACAACATGAGCAGCCTGAATGGGGACATACAGAGCCACACTCCTAGCAACCAGATCTGGTTTGAGACAATGGCTGACTCTCCAGGGGAACAAAACTTGTTAGAAACAACTCTTCTTATTCAACACTTTTTGTATTTTGGCTAATGCTGAAGGAGAGATGCCAATCTAAACAGCCCTTTCAGATGTTGAACGAGTTAAGGGGAAGGTGTGGCACACCTGCTGTATCGTTTGTACAATCAAGCAAGGGATCATGTGAAAGCTTTGTGCTAATTATACATGTACATACATGGTTATACATATACCAGTCAGTTACCATGATTCACCCTCAGTGGGAACTAAAGGTAAAATTGATAATAAACCGTTCAAGGACCACAAATACACTGCTGGTTCCTGCATATGCAGACATGCTGATTATGAGTTTAGACATCACTTACTGTTTACACGATGCTCCTGTAGTGAATTGGACTCATCTGCAGAATAGATGGAGCTGGTTTTCTCCCTACCGCAGGCAGCTGGAAAGAAAGGGGTAAAGTTTTGGATTCAGACAAGAAGCCCAACAAGAATGTCCCCATTTCCCAGCTCCCCTCTCCACGTTTCAGTCTGAGTCAGTGGCCCACTCTTTGTCAATTTACATGACAAAAACTGCGCTTGTTGGATCACTGAGTTCATTCACCACTTATAATGGCGTCTCCCCTGTTCTTCTTCCCACTAATAAATCTGCTACTACGCACACATTTCACACACAGCTTTGCAACTACGCTTGGAAAAGTAACACAACCCCATGTATGCTACAAAACAATCATGCTAACAATTAATAACTTTGGTAAAACTGTGCGTTGAAGTGTAGCAAGAAAATTTTCCTCATGTCAAATATCTCTATAAAAGCACAAATAACTACCCTTTACATTGTAATAGAAAGCTGTGTTAATGAGGTTGACATGTAGTAACGCAGACTATGTGAATAATTACCTCAATAAAAACACAGCTACTCTGTCATTTTAGGGGTAAAATGCTATATGCTAACAGAAAAATAACACTTGTTTTAATTAGGTTTAGCTAGTATTAGAGAGTATTAGGACCACACTAAGAAAATAAACTAATGTTCACATTTTGACTTTTTTTTCGCAAAATAATATTAATACTTTTTTACTTTATTGCCAAAATGGTAGATATTTTTTTCTTAATGTAGCCGTGTACTCCTTTGTAGCTAGCTGTTAATTAGGGTTAGGGGGGAAAATGGAGTTTTATTAAATAGTGGCTCAGGGTTGTTTTTTTTTTTGTTTTTGTTTTTTAATCAGGTTTAGCTACATTAACACAAGTTTTAAAATGTATTAACATAAGGGTTTTTGTGTACACATTTTTGAGTCATATCGTGATGACAGTGGATAAATGGGGTAAAGTTGTAACCTGCTCAGCACAAGCTGTACATTGGGTGTGTCTGGCGGGCTCACCTCCAAAGTGTAGGCCCTCTCTTGTTGCTTTTGAATTATAACCCAAGGG